CTTCCTGTAATTACGGTCCCCTTGTTAGCAGTACAAAGTGGACTGCCTGGCCTTTGAGTCATTGTGTCTGAACACGTGTGCATGGGCGGTGCTGGGGGCCATGCACGCGTACACACATGCATGTGAGAGGCTGTGTGCTTGGCAAGGGCCCTTCCCTCTCACCTGGCAGGGCTGGGGCAGACGAAGCTTTCATGGGCTTCTCATCTCCACCACTTCGTGGGACCTGTCTGCCTCCTTGATTCTCTTGCTCTCCCCACCAGAGGGCTGGACTAGGACAGCCACTCCCTGCTCAAAAGCCTTGCAGCTCTCTGCCACTCCTAGAGTTCATGGCAGCTGAGCAGTATGTCCACCATGGCCTGGGAACCAGGTCATACCAACTTGCCCCCCTCACAGACCAAGCCTCTAACCAAACCAGATTGCCAACCAGGCGCCCCGCTCTGCTCTTTTGTTGTTGCTGGTCCTTCACCTAGGCCAGTGGTCGGCAAACTCGTTAGTCACCAGAGCCAAATATCAACAGTACAACAATTGAAATTTCTTTTGAGAGCCAAATTTTTTAAACTTAAACTATATAGGTAGGTACATTGTTATTAACTTAATTAGGGTACTCCTAAGACTTAGGAAGAGCCACACTCAAGGGGCCAAAGAGCCGCATGTGGCTCCCGAGCCGCAGTTTGTCGACCACGGACCTAGGCCATCCCCTCTCTTCTGTCATTGCCTGTCACAACCCTGTCACTCACGGAATCACTGAGTCTGCGCCCATAACACTTGCTTTCATCTCCTTCTGGTGCCACCAGGTCACACCTTGTATTGGTAGTTGGATACGAGGCAGACTTCTCTCCCTCAACTTCGCCTCTCCCTAAAGTGCCTTGTGTACAGAAGGGGCTCAGTAAATGGCTGTTGGTCAAGGAAAGGAAGAGAGGAAGAAGGGGAGGAAGGAGGGAAGGAAGGGAAGGGAAGGAAAACCTCCCACTTTCTTAGCAACCATGTTGGGCCCAGCTTATACCTATAGGCCATCTATCTCCTGGGAATAGAAGGTACATAGAAAGGTGAACTGTTTGTCACCCTCCCACCCATTCCCTCCACCAAAAGCCATTGTTGCATTTTGTGGTAGCACATGCAAGATGGCGTGTCCTCACCCCCAAACAGATTCAGGAATGAGCACCCATAAGATCTCCAGGGAACATCACCAAGGAACCCAGTACATTAATAGTGACTGTAAAATGGTGTGTGGGCCACAGGAATTCTTAGATGTGGGCGGGCAGGTGGGAGCCAGGGGGCATTTCAGGGCACTTAAGCACAGGAGGACTTTCTATGGGCCATGGCTACGTGGAGCTCAGGCCCCAGGCAGGGGAAGTGTCCAGAGGCTGGGATGAGAGGACTCAGGAGAGGGAGGGAGGAAAGAGAGAGGGGAGCAGGGTACCAGGCTTCCTGGCTCTTCAGGGCCCAGACTGGGAGTGGTGGGTGTTTCTGCTAGAGCCGGCCCTACCTTACCCGACTCCAGCCTGGCACTCAGGGCCCCTCCCAGGTCGGACATCCGGGTCTTCAGGGCTAGCACTTACCTTCTGTTATTTTCCCCATAAAGACGGTCATGGGGTGGGGGTGGATCCGGGTCTTATTTACGTTTTTCTCCTCCCTGACTATTAGGAAGTTCCTCTCTTTCTTCCCACTGCCCTCCAGCATCAGTGGAATTGCCTGGGCAGCAGGGTGGGTTGGGCCAGGGAGACCTGATTTCCCTCCTCAAGGGTCCCTGGGATGAGGCCCTACATAGCCAGGCTGAGAACACACTTCCTTCAGGCTGTCCTCCCTGCCTGGTCGCATTCATCAGGATCACAGGGGCGGCCCCATCTGTCTTTATCTTTCCCTGGGTCGAGAGAGAATTGCTGGAGTCATGCTTGGGGGAGGAGGCCCCCCCTACACACCCCCTCCCCAGCCCTCAGCAGCTCCTGGAGGCCCGGGCTTTGTGCACAGGAGTTGGAAGGGAATGGACTTTTTGTCTGGCCTTCTATAGTGACAGACCCTGCCCTTGCTCCTGTCTTGGCCTGGGCTCTGAGCAGCAGCCCTGCTCCCACACAAGTTGTTCCACAGCCAAGGCAATGCACCCCTCCCGCCCCCCACAGTGATAGGCCCAGAGGCATTCTTAACATTCTTTCCAGAGAAAAGGGGTGAAACGTCTGAATTTGGGGGTCACCATGTTATACAAATTGCAATCTAATCGTTTTTTTGTTTTTTTGTTTTTTACAAAAATACACTTGCAGTAAGAAAAGGAGCTCGGAGGAGGGGCTGACGAGACAGACAGCTTGCTTTGTCCCCCTTCCCCCCAAAGTGTGGGGCTATTGTCAGCCGGTCTCTCTCCCTCCACCACAGCAGATAAGCTAGAGTTTTCTAGTTAAATTGGTCCTGGGGTAGGGGCCACAAAGGGCCCACGGTGCCATTTCTGTTTGTTTTCCCAAATCAAAACCCCAGCAGGGCTCCTATGGTACTGCTGGGCCGCTATTGGAAGAGACTGGCCATTTCCCAGAGCGCGGTGTGTCCGTTTATGCTCTGAACTTAACCTCACGAGCACTGCACAACAGAGCCGTGAGGGTCCAGGCCCAGAGACAAGAGAAATTGTATCTTTTTATTGGCCCATTTAAAGTGTGTGTGGCCGTTACAGAGAATCGGAGAAGCGTGCACCAGAAAGAAAACTCCTCAGCCCGGCCAGGCTGGGCTGGCAGACAGGCTTTCAAGGACTTGTCCTGGCCCCAGGCGCTGAGCTCACTCTTGATCTTGGGTCTCCCCCGCAGGGCAGAGTTCTGTGTTTCTTTTCTTTTTTTTAAATATATTTTTATTGATTTCAGAGAAGAAGGGAGAGGGAGAGAGAGACTGAAACATCAATGATGAGAGAGAATCATTGATCGGCTGCCTCTTGCACATCCCCTACTGAGGGCTGAGCCTGCAACCTGGGCATGTGCCCCTGACCAGAATCGAACCTGGGACCCTTCAGACCACAGGCTGACGCTCTATCCGTTGAGCCAAACCAGCTTGGGCGAGTTCTGTTTCTTATTGCAGATGTTGTGGCTGACACTTTCCAGTGCTGGCTCAGACGCGGGGGCATGGGCCCAGGTTGGCAACTTGGTCTGGGTGTGGCCTTTATGCTGCTGACCCTGCCTAGCCATGGATGCCCAGCTCTCCTTCCCTTTCAGCCCTGGGACCAGCGGTGGGCAGGTAGAGCCATGCTGGGCTTCACACCCCCAACCTACTGCCTTTCATCTTCTATTTCAAACAGACAAACATGAAATTACGCCTACAGATTAAAGGGGAGAGCTCCTCAGTCATTCCTGAAGGCCTCGCTAATGGAGGGGCAGGGCCCCCAATCTGGAAGGAGAGGGAGGACTGTGGAGCAAAACAGCCCCTACCCGGTGCACAAATCTGCACGTGTGCCCGTGAGAGAGACCAGCCGCTTGCAGGGCTCCAGCCTGCCCAGTCTGGGGGAATCATGGCTAGTGAAGGGCTTCCTGGGAGCCCCGGTCCGTGATCTCTAGGAGACGCTGATCTGGAGAGAGGGCTTTCTGCCTGATCCTTCTCGGGATTCTCCCCGACATCCCTCTCCCGACACAGGCTTCTCCTGTGTTCCTCCCCGGGAAGGAGGCTGGGGGACAGGGTGCTGACTTAGGGCCTAGCCCCCCACCAGACAGCAACCGTGTACCTTGCTGGGGGTCATGTCTCTGTCCAGGGCTCCAGGGGAAAGGCAGAGTGGGCAGAGAGGAGCCCACAGCCTCCTCCTTTACTCCTTCAGCCTTCAGGGAAGATGGTGGCTCCAGTGGGGAGAAGGAATGAAGAGGGGCAGCATCTGTGTGAGGTGGAAGGACTAGAGCTGAGGGCCACATTCACACATGTGACTGGCAGCCCCATCAGCCTTAAGCCCTTTGATTAACACTGTTTGGGCCAAAGCTGGGCTGGTGCGACCACGAAGTCCTCCCACTCCATGCCCAGCCTCTTACCTGTGAGTCCCTGGGAAGTATCCAAGGCCTTGTTTTTCCCGTCATGGAGGAGAGCCCAGCATCTTTTGGTTGAAGCTGAGGAATGGGGTCTGGAGGGTGCCCCTCTTCTCCTTCATTTCCCCCAGTCATTCTGCAGACTCACTGCTCCTACCCGTCCCCTAGCCATAGGGATTAGCGGGTGCACTTGATGTTGAGGGGTAGTTGCTAGGGCCAGGAGGCCCCCCTACATGGTTGCTAGGGGTCTGGCATCAGGCGAGGGGTCTGCCCACTGCCGCGGTCACGGAGGGAATTACACAGTCACAAAGAAATTGTTCTTCTCAGTAATCTGCTCTTGGCCACCGGGAGGGGCGAGGGTGGGGGAGCAAGCTGGAGCCCAGCAGGCCGGGGGCTGTGATCACAGAGGCGTGCTCGCCCCGGGCTGGGGGCCAGCCTGGCCAGGAACACCAGGGACCAGCCCGCTAAGCTGCTTTCTCAGCGATTTCTGTCCCCAGACACAAAGGTGTTTACTTGTTTTAACATCTCCTGGGACTCCCCTTCTCCCTTTGTGTGGTCTTTATCCCCAATGAGGTTTGAGCCCCAGATTACAGGCGGGAATTAAGGCATTGGACTCAGGCAGCTCAGAACTGCATGACCTGCAGGATCAAGGAGTATAAAGTAACCGTGTGTGTGTGTGTGTGTGTGTGTGTGTGTGTGCGTGTGTGTGTGGTGAGGGGCAACCCCTTCAGCAAGGCCCATTCATCCTCCTGCGGAGGAGAGGCTGGGTGGCGGGTGGCCAGTGTGCAGGTGTGATGGAGGGGCTGATAGTGATTGATTGAGGCCTTTAGCTGGGGGAGGGGCTGGGGTGGGAGGGAAGGGAGTCTGGGGCATCTCCTCCCTCAGCCCCCCTTCCTAAGGGAGTCTAATTCTAGCTCGGGAAGGAGAGCTGCATTTCCTTAGGGACTGAAGCCATTTGGAGATTCAAAGAATCTGTGTGGGCCAAGGTGGGATAGTGGCTCATCCTCTGCCCCTCTCTCTCCCCAGTGGGCAGCTGATGACACACCTGGGCAGTGACTTTCCCCCAGGGGCTGGGGTGCTGGACCTCATGTATGAGTCCCCTTTCACGCTCCTGTCCTGTGGCTATGACACCTACGTTCGATACTGGGACCTCCGAGCCAGTGTCAGGTGAGTGTGCTGGGCAGGAGGACAGGTGGTGGGAGACCTAGGTCAGTCTTGGTGGGAGGAGGTACAGACTCCATGTCAGGGACCGGTAGGGAGCAGCCGGCAAGGTCAGATCAAGCTTGGACTTCCCACCTTGGCAGTTTGGGCCCCGAGGCCTGGGAGATCGTAGCCGCCAGGACCTGATCAGAGCCGTGGGAGCTGTGAGGGTGCCATCCCTCAGCATTGTCCCAGCCTTTCTACCTTTCTAAGGCCTTACAGTCCTGTGACATGTAGTCAGCCATGTGAAGCACAAATGAGGGCATAAGCTACCCTGGGGTCTGGAGTTTGATAAGAAAGAGACCTTTACTGAGGAGGCTTTCCCCCATTAAGGCTGCTTTTTAAAGAATTTGGTGATTCAGCCTCTCCCAGCCAGAATGGGGAAGTGGGGTGGAGGGAGGGCATCCTGAGCTCCCCTGCATCGCCTCTTCCTGGACAGGAAGTGTGTCATGGAGTGGGAGGAGCCCCACGACAGCACCCTGTACTGCTTGCAGACGGATGGGAACCACTTGCTGGCCACAGGTTCCTCCTACTACGGGGTTGTACGGCTGTGGGACCGGCGCCAAAGGGCCTGCCTACACGTAAGCATCCCGCCTACCTCACGCACACCTCCCGGAAGCCAGGACTCATGTTTATGGGCTGCACCTGAGGGTGGGTGTGCCTGGAGCGGTGGAGGAAGCCCACAGTGCACCTGACCCATTGCACTGGGCCTGGGAGTCCTGGGTTTGGGCTCCCCTATCTCCTACTCGGGCCACCCTTGTCATTCTTGTGCCTTCCCTTGCAGGCCTTCCCGCTGACGTCGACACCCCTGAGCAGTCCGGTGTATTGCCTGCGCTTCACCACCAAGCATCTCTATGCGGCGCTGTCTTACAACCTTCACGTCCTGGACTTTCAAAACCCGTGACAGGCAGGGCCACCCTAGCTGTGGGCCAGGGAAGCTAGCTACTCAGGGACCTCTCTTGCTTGGAGGGTGCAGTGATAATGCTCCCCACCCGTGCCTGTGCTCCCAGACCTGCAACCACAGTGCTTGAGCACTTAAGCCAAAGGCTGCTGACTCCTGGGACTCAGATTACCCAGTGGTACAGCCCCTCCCAAGAACCAGTTGGAGAGAAGAGACCTGCTGCTTTGGGAGAGTGAAGCTGAACCCACCGGGCCTTGCTTTCCTATCCGCCAGAGCAAGGATCTGGCCTAGAGAGGCACCCCCGCCCGCACCTCACCCCTTAGAGCCATGATAGCTTAGCGGAGGTGAGGTGCTCCGGCCTTCCCAGTGGTCCCCCTCTGCCCTTTCCCTGGAAGGAGGGTGTGGCTGCCAATACCCCTGCTGGCACCAGCCCCCGCCTCCTCAGTCAGACCCCACCTTTGGACAAGTTTTTGGGGCTGGGGACTCATTCCTGGGGCACTATGGCCTGGTCTCCCTTTGAAACCAAGAAAGGATAAAGGAAACACAGAAGTTCTGAGTGAGCTCTCAGCCAGCCCAGCCTCAGGCCAGCTGTTGAGACAGGCTACAATATTCATTTTTGTAAAAATAAAGCTTAATTGTTCAAAGATCTGGTTCCTCACTTGCTGGGGAGGCCCAAGGGAGAGGGGACAACAGATTCAAATTTTGGGATGTACATGCTGGGAAAGAGTAAGACCAGCCTCATGGCTCAGTGTCCCAAAGAACAAAGGTTTTCTTTTTTTCAGGAAACCCTCTCATTGACCACCCACCCCTGTGGCCGTGGAAGGTCCCTAGGATAGAGAAGGGAGTGTCGCCACCAGCTCCTTCCCTGGGAATAGGAGCAGACAGAAGTGGACAGTGTTCCCGCAGTGACTCAGAACTTTACTCAGGAGAGTCCACCATGATGCAGGGGCCAGGAGTGCCCCGGGGCCAGTTCTTACAGAGCCTGTAGAGCTGCTGGAAGAGAGGAGGCTGCCCCAGTGCCGGAAAGGCCCAGGCTGTGAGTCTTACAGGTGACAGAAGAGCTCACTCACCCTCCATGCCGGAGGTGCAGGCTCAGGGTCCACTACTGGGTTTTACAGTCCCCATCGCTGCTGTGGGCCATCTTTACCTTCTTCAGCTCCTTCTGCAGCTCTGACTCGGCCACCAGGACTTCCTTTGGCTTCTGGTACTATAGATGGGGCCAGAAAGAGGACATCATTCCGTCACATTCCGCCCTCCCCTCCACTTCACACACACGTACTCACACACACACTCAGGGCCCCTTTGGGTCCCTTTGTTCAAAGATGAGGAAACGGAGGCCTACAGGGTTGAATGATTTGCTCAAAGTCACATGGCTAAGGAGGAGCAGGCCTTGAACCAGAACCCCAGTCTGATTTCCATCCTTCCCCATCACCCCTGTCCTCTTCTAGCTGTCAGATTCCTCCCTGGGCCCCACCCTGCTCTCCCCATGCTGACACAGATGCCTGTTCTGCAGCTAGTACACCCCACGGGTTGAGGCTAGTGCCGGGGACTCCTATGGAATGGGAAATGGGCAGGGAAGGAGGGAGGCTCTCCCTGACGCAGTGGCTAAGATGTCTGGGTGAATCTTACGGAGATGATCAGGGTGCAGTTGGCATAAGCAAAGCTCAGCAAAGAATCATCCAGAGGTAGCTGGTATCTGTCCAGATCAGTAATGGAGAACTTCTTGTAGTACCTATGGGGACAAAAAGAGGTCATGGGGACACCCAACAAGGTGACTCCAACAATTTGGCATCAGGCCCTGTACTGCTAAGCTTCTACAACGTTCTCTCGCACTTCCAACAGCCAGAGAGGAAGAAAGGAAGCCCACTGGAACACCAGTCTTTTGGAGCTTAGTGGCCTTGGAAAGAAAAGAATGAAAGGCCTTATGGCCAGTCCAGCAGAAGAGCAGAACTGGTCACGATTCCTCGACGAACCAGGGATTAGTGACTCATACTTGAGGTTTAGGACTACCCAGGACAGATAAGCAGATAGCTCGAGCAAGCCAGCCCTCCTCTGGATCCCAAGAAAATGGGACAGAATAGACATCTAGGGCGATCCCCCAACGCTGACAGTTGCCATATACATGGGGCTTCCAATGAAGACCTCAGCTACCTTTTCCTTTGTTGGGGTCTCTTCAGGCCTTATTAGCTGACTCTACTTGCAGGCCAGAGAGGGAAGTACATCACAGGAGAAAGCTCCCTGACAGGACAAACCATCGAGCTATCAGGGAAGCTGTATCTCTGGGGCCCTGGACTACTTTGCTGGCACAGGTCAGGGCTGACGTTCCTTGCTCCTGGTCTGGTGCTTATCACACCAGAGCACAAATGGCCTACTCACTGCTAGCAGCAGGCCCTTTTGGCATCTTCCTTGGAAGTGCAGCGAGGCTCTGGTCAGTGGCTGCCAGACCTGTCACCCAGGCACAGCATCACCGCTGCTGCCAGGATGTGTGGGTTGGGAAGGGAAACGCTGCAGGCAGGTACAAACACTCAAGTGAGGGGCCTGGGGAGGATGGGGCTTTTAATACTTCAGAGGAGCCTGGTCCTTGTGGTGACAGCTACCTTGAGTCCACTTCAAAAGCCCTGATGCCCTGGGGACTCAGAGAGTTGACATCAATGTAGCACTTCTGCCCCACTCTCCCTGCCCAAATCCCTTAGTTTAGCAGAGGCTCTTCAGGGCCCCTCTCCGCCCAGGTTCCCCACTCCCCACCAAGGTGCTGGGACCCATGGCAGGAAAAGAATGTTTACTTAAAGGCTGACAGTTCAAAAGGAGTGGGGGCTGGGAGGTCCTAATGGCACCATAGGCTTGCTTTATTTTCCAAAGCTCTGCCCCAGGGAAAGGTGATCCATCTGCCTGCAAACTGGAGTGGAATGCCGGCCTCATCCTCTTCCTAGCCAGCCCGGGCTGAGGTCTTTTCCTGGGGCCCTTGGTCTGGCCAGCAAAGGTGGCAGACACTGATAATAGGGGGGAGTCAAAGGTTAAACAGCAAAGATTAGATGAACACAAAGGCTTGTTAGGAAGTGTTAACATCTTCCTTGCAAATATACACAGAAACAACTGGGAGAGAAGCAGCCAGCGCAGGCACATGCAGCCCAGCCGAACCCCCGAGGCCTGTGTAAGGCTTTGCCCTGTAGACCAGTACCGGGACATCCTTTCTGCCGACCTGCCTTGTGCGCCCGCCCCTGGGAAAGGGGCCCTCTCAAGCCACATTCCCCAGGCTGGGGCACTGGGATAGTAAAGGATCCTGGAGCTTGGCCTCATGGCAATGACAACGAGGTCTAAGGGAGCCTGAGGTGTGTGGCTGCCGCCTCTGTCCTATACCCACCATCTTTCACGAGATGAGGGGACTGGAAGCAGTGGGCCTGGAGACTCAGCTTTGTTTTGAGTCTGTTCTAATAGGTTTAGTTTATTGGTTGAAGTTAAACAATTTTCCTTAGAAGCTCCTGATGGGCGGTGTTCGGGGGAGTATGGGGCATCTCTCCTCAAGGAGCAGCCCCCGCCCCCATTCCCTGGCCTTGGGGTTTGCCTTCAGAGGAACTGCACTTGACTTTCTCACCAGCACCTGGACTAGAGAGAGACCCACTGTACTTCTGCAGAAGCCAAAATACTCAGCCTCGGGCAGCAAACATTTCTTAGGCATCAACTGTGTCCCAGGCCTTGAGCTGTAAGCCTCAGGATTTTAAGGATGAAGAAGAAACAAGGCCGTGCTGCTGCCTGAGGAGACCATGCTGTATTTCTGTCCAAAGTCAAACTCTTATAGCAGGTGGTTGCTGGGCTTTTTGCAGACGCCCCAACACTCGTCCCCATTTTCTTTTTTTTTTTTAAATATACTTTATTGATTTTTTTACAGAGAGGAAGGGAGAGGGATAGAGAGTCAGAAACATCGATGAGAGAGAAACATCGATCAGCTGCCTCCTGCACACCCCCTACTGGGGATGTGCCCGCAACCAAGGTACATGCCCTTGACCGGAATCGAACCTGGGACCTTCCAGTCCGCAGGCCGACGTTCTATCCACTGAGCCAAACCGGTCAGGGCACTCCTCCCCATTTTCATCTCCCTTCATTGTTCTCAGTCTCAGCCACACACTGAGAGGTAACATTAATACTCAATCTGTGCCAGGCACTGTTCTACACACTGATTCCTCAACACAATCCTCTCAGGTTGGTTACTACCTCTCTAATCCTCTTTTACAGAAGAGGAAACCGAGGCCCAAGTCACAAAACTGGTAAAGGGAGACAATCTAAAAACAAGTGATAATCCCCAAGCCTGACCCCTCCATCCTTCCACATTCTCACTCCCAAGTAACAGACGACCTGGTATAAGTTCCCTGCACCTGTCCAGGAGGGGGCAGATATGGGAGGGGGGCTCCCTAGGAATCCAGCCACCCAGCACTCTTTCTAACACATGGTGGTTTTTCTTTCTGAATCTCAAAAGTGTTCAAAAGACATGTGGGAGCAAAGGCTCTCAGGAGGGCAGGCCATTTAGCTTTGAGCCTCGGTTTCTTCCTCCTCAAATAAAGGCGCTGTCCCAGATAAATCTGAAGTCTGCAGGTGCCAGTCCAACAGGCTGGAATAGGCCAACTTTCTTCAATGTGTGCCAAAAGGACAGCTCCCTATTTCAGAAATGGCCTACCACACCCCATCACTCTCTTCCCACTGTGTCACCTTCCCCATTCCCAGTCTTTTCCCAACTCATTCGCCCTTGCAGTGAACTGAGAAGGGGCACAGGTCAGGTCTTCAGAGAGACACTAGAGGACAGGGCCGCTGTGGACAGTCACATGGGCCATGCGCCACACACCTCCAGGAGGCACCCTGTACAACTGTGTGCAGGGTTGGCCAGAACAGTCAAGAGAAGCCTCCAGCCAGTCCAGTCCATACAAAATCAGTAGGCAAATCTTTCTTTCTTTCATTCTTACACATCAAGGCTCTGGGCACTGTTCATCCCTGCCTATAGTAGCCCCTCCTAGAGAGTCTCAATATACATTCACATACTAAAGGCTCTCAAAAGTCCTACTGAAGAAAAAGTTGTTTACTCCAGAGTTTCCTAAACTTATTTGAGCACAGAATCCTTTTTCTAGCAATGACTATTAACACTTTCTACAGTGTTAGTATCACCGATGTCAAATCAGCCAAATTCCCTTCACATTCGAATTTCCAAAGAATTGTGGGGGCCTGCTTAAGGCTGGCCATTTGTACGTACACGTTTTCATCAAATTTTCCGATCTGTGAGGTAGGCATGAGTATTCACCTGTGATGGATGAGGGAACCTTGCCCCAAATACTACAACTAATACGTGGCAGAGGCCAGATTTAAGCCGACACCCTCCTATTCCAGCACCCGGGCTCATCCCACTTACAGCTGCCAGCTTCCAGGCTAAGAACCTTTCTGCACAAACGCCCTTAACAGGAACAGACGGTGCTGCACTGGGGTCCTGGAAAAGCACCTTCTTCCTTCCCTCACCACTCCCTGGCCAAGGACATGATACACTGGAATCAATTCCTTCCAGAAAAGTGGCCAGCCCAGTTCTTCAGGGACAAGGCAGGTATGGACAAAGGAAGCCTGAGTTTCATTAGTAACCACATTCCAGAATATTAGAACTGGGGCAGGT